ACCTATCAATTAATGTTTTTTTGATTGTTCTTCTTTGTATTCCTGGATATTCCTTCTGCTTTATTGTATTCCTGGACATTCCTTCTATTTTAGGCAGATAATAGCCATTTTTCTATGTCTATCATCCTAAGCATGCCCTTGTTATGTTGCACTAAATATTGTAATTGTATGTTTACAGTAACCCTTATTTCCATATCATACTGAACACTATTCCTTTTTCTTGTAGGCAGAGTAAACTTAATATTATTGTTTTATTTACTTCAGGTCTTTCCACATGACTTTGAATGCTGTATGTTACATTATCAATCTCCCTTAAATCATCTTTTCTTTACCTTATTCTTAATGTTGTTCTCCTTCCATGTTAACAGTGTTAAGAACATAACACTGTTTGTTTCTTGTTCCTTGCCATCCTGATCACTGCCATTAAAAACAAGAGCTTTTAATTAGGTTTTCTTGAAGGGAAAAAAAAAAGAGAGAGAAAACAGAAAAAGGAGATTTACAGTTTTTGATATATTGGCTTTAATTTATAATTTACATAATTCATTTTTACAAATTAATTGTGAGTTTGATGGTAAAGTTAAATTTCTAAGTGTTTTTTTTGTTCAATCTGGTACTTGCCGTATCATTACTGGGTACGTTTAATGTGTTCATATAATAGATAGTTATTAGTAACATTACATATTAATATGAATGTTTTATTTAAAGATTGGATTTACTTGTCCTCTGGATAAGCCTTACTGCTCGATATTCTGTGAATTTGTTTTGTACCACCCTGGAAATATGTTTATGTACTTAAAGTTAAACAATTTTAAAAACTTCTTAAGTATTTAGAAAGGTTTGAACATTATTTTATTTAAACATGAAAGTGAAATACTTGGTGAATACCATGTTTTTAAATTATCTTGATGGAAAGCAAGTCAGTACTGCCTGTTGACATTTTTAGCTCAATTGTGGTTTAAGTATTTTTTGACGTTATGTCCAGTTGCTAATGTACTTGTTAATAGATTATTGTATAAGTAAATTTTTTGATATGAATTTCTATTCAAATTAAAGCAAGTTTATATTTTTAAACCCTAATTTTAAATGGTTAAATGCTTGCCATTTTATTTCTGGTAAAAGTATTTATAATTTGACCCAAATGTAAACATTATCAAAATCAAGACATTGTTTTGAAACTATAAAAATTAAATAATTAAACAAAAAGTAATGTTGATTAAAATTTTTATTGTAGTCTGTATATCTCTGAAATCAGAGTGTTGTTTCAGTTTTAACCTTTAAAGTATGGGTAAATATAGTCCAGTGGTTACAGTGCTGGACTATGGAGCTAAGGGTCCATGGTTTGCATTTTTTTACTGACAAAAAACACTGTACTCTACATTTTAGGACCATGATGTATTATGTTAGTAATGGTCAAGTCTCACTATTTGACCCAAGAGTAGTCCAAGGGTTGGCAGCACCCTCTAGTCTGTCACTTCAAAATTAAGGCTGGCTAGAGCAGATAGCCATTGGGCAGCTTTGTACGAGATCCAACAAAAACCTTTTAGGTAACAAAAATGTTATTTATGTTCTACATGAGACTGTAGAATGACTTGTTATTATAATAAACAGTCACAAAAATTAAAATACAATACTTTCAATAGCAAATCCAGTTTGGAACATTAAGTTTCAGCTCATCTTTATGTTCTATATTTCATTTGTTTTTTAAAGTGTGTTGGGTATTATTGATCTGGTATACATGTACATCTCAGTTTATTCAGTTCCTATGTATATATATATACACCAATGTGTATTTCTACCTGGTATATCACTAGTGTTTATTACTTTGAATATTTTTATAATAACAGCCACCTAGAGAGACCAAGGCTCATAGTCAATATTATGGTAACAGGAAAATAATGAAACCGTTTACAACAGTGACCCAAAGTGTCCATGTCCTTGTAGATCCTCATGACTGTTTATTGATAGGTCTTTATTATTGTTTATTTATTGTTTTCAATGATGAAAAAGTCTTGTCAATTTTAAGGCATAGTTATCATTCTCTCGAGGAACTTTTATCATAGATATATATAAGAGAAATAAAAGGTTTTAATGTTGGATATTTAAAATAGCAGAGTGATAGGTCCTAGTACAGATTATACCAGTAAAATGTATATAGTATTGTTCACAATAATAGGGGCTTATATTGTGTGTATATAGAAAAACATTTTTTTTAATGTACTCATAATTTCTATTTGTTATCAAAAATATGTATGTTACATCCTGCACATTTAAATCTTTCCTGTTTGTTAGGAGAGTGAATTGTTGTCATGGCAACTAGTTTAAGTCAACTGTGAAACATTTTATCTATTTCTGTTTGTTGAAAGCAGTTGTGTTGATATTCAGTACAGTTGATACAGTAACAGTCACTATTAAATTTCCTTAGCCATGAAACACTGTGTACTTGTCTGTGCTATCGATGTTTTTACTATTCTAAACTTTGCTGAAACTGACAACTAATGTAGTTTCAACTAACATATCCTGAAGTAAAATTTTGTTCCTCGACTGATAAGATTCTTTTAGTTTTAAATTGGTGCAAAACTAAAACCTTTGTCCTCTGGTTAGTAGTAGTAATTTTAAAGTTAATTATAACCTGAACTAGAAATATCCAAACAAATAACAACAAGGCTAATTTTCTGACATGTTGTTTACTTTCAGTTGCTAAGTGCAGAGTAAAGAGACTGACTTTAATATTTAATAAACCATACAGAAACTGATTTTATGAACTTGAGTCTATAATTATCTCTATCTATACATACATACATAT